TCCTCATAGTTTCCCAACTCTTTCCAGATCATCTTCAATTTTCCATAATAACTCACCACAGCCATTCCTTGTTGTTTACATTCAGCCAACTCAGTTTTAAGCTGCTGAATGCGTGGTCTATTTCCTACAGAAAACCGTTCCTTGATATCACTCTAGAGCTCCTTTGCAATCTCCATGTATGTTATGGTCGATCGTAAAGTTGGTTCGATTATGTTCAGTATCCATGATACCAGCATGGAGTTAACTGTCCACCAATCTTCTTATTCCAATGAATCTTCTGAAAATGGCTTCACTAAGCCATCGATGAAGCCGAATTTCTTCTTGGCCCGTAAAGCTGTCCGCATCACTCTTGCCTATTCGTCATAATTATCACCCTTCAACTGAACTTGAGTGATGATATTTCCTGGGTTGCCACTGGTTGATAGATAATAAGGAGAAGTGATGATCCTTGCTACGGCATCGTTGCCCTCCTTTTTTCCTTCACTTCCATTCCTTGTCATCGCACTGATACCCTCCTTCTTTCCTTCACTTCCATTCCCTGTCATGGCTCTGATACCATGAGAGAACAATATTTCAGGAATGAAGCCTTTGCTTCTCGATCCCTTTATTCACAGAAACATACAAATATATATAGTATTATAGCCCTACAATCAAGGAACTAATCAAGCCTAAATAAGAAGGAAAAACATCATCGGCCTAAATAAGAAAATAAAATCACTATCAAGCTCCTACCTAAAATAGATAACTAATATTTACTTGCTATACAAACATATTATATAGCTGATATACAGATCACATTCCAATACATCATCACCGTGGAGTTTGAAACTTTGAATGAAAGAGTTGTGCAATGCACTAAAACCTTACAAGATATTTATGAACTAACCGAACAACAAGAAAAAAATCATTTGTTTTGTCTCTTTGCCAATTGTAAACCTGTGAATTTTCAAGAAGTGGAGAGATGCAATGCATGAAGAAATAAAAGCGATTTGTGAAGAATGACACGTGGGAACTTGCTTCACTTCCTAAGGGATAGAAGGCGATAAGGGTTAAATGGGTTTACAAAACAAAGAAGAATGTGAAGAGAGAGATGGAAAGATACAAGGCGAGGCTCATAGCAAAAGGATATAGTCAAAGAGTTGGCATTGACTATGATGAGGTATTTCTCCCGTTGCTCGCTTAGAAACCATATGACTAATCATTTCTTTGACAACTCAAAATAAGTGGAAGAGTCATCAAATGGATGTAAAGTCTGCTTTCCTAAATAGAGTACTCGAAGAAGTCTACATTAAACAGCCATTGGGCTATGACGTGAAAGGGAAATAAGACAAAGTTTTGAAGTTGAACAAAGCTCTCTACAGGTTGAAACAAGCACGCCGCACATTGAACAGTCGTATTGATAGGTACTTTAAAAAAAAAACAGTTTCACCAAATGTCCTCATAAGCACGTTCTTTATGTCAAGACCAAGTTTTGATCGTGTGCTTGTATGTGGATGATTTGATCTTTACTGAAAGCAACCTAAGCTTGTTTGAAGAATTCAAGAAAGCAATGGCCAATGAATTTAAGATGACAAATATTGGACTCATGGCATACTATCTTGTCGTTGAAGTCAAGAAAAGGGGAGGCAGCATCTTCATCTCTCAAGAAGGCTACACAAAGGAGATACTTAAGAAGTTTAAAACACATCATTGCAATCCTCTAAGCATATCGGTAGAATGCAGAGTCAAACTATCCAAGCACATGAAGGAGAAAGAGTAGATCCAACTTTCTTTAAGAGCCTAGTTGGAAGCTTGTGCTATTTGAAGTGCACCAAACCTAACATTCTCTATGTCGTTGGATTAGTTAGTTGCTATATGGAAACCCCAACAACTCATTTCAAGGTTGTAAAGAGAATCCTCGTCAGCCTAAAGGTACAATCAACTTTGGCTTGTTTTATTCATTTTCAAAGGAGTACAATATCGTTGGATATAGCGATAGCAATTGGGATGTGGAGACATTGATGATAGAAAGAGCACCACTGAATTTATATTTTTCATGGAAGACACTATTGTTACTTGAATGTCAAAGAAGCAGCCAATTGTTACGTTTTTAACATGTGAAACCAAGTATATTGATGCCACCTCCTGCAATTGTCATGCAATTTGGTTGCAAAACTTAATAAATGAGTTGAATATATCACAAGAAGAGCCAACAACCATTTATGTTGACAACAAGTCTACGATTGCTTTAACGAAGAATCAAGTCTTTCATGACCCAAGCAAGTACATTGATACTGAACATAACTACATAAGAGAGTGTATTGAAAGAAAAAAAAAATACACCTATAGTGTTTTTTTTTTTTTTAATTTTTTTTCCTAAATCATTTTATTATTTACCATATTTTTCCAATGGTTTTTGAGAACAAAAAAGAAAATGAAATACTTTTAGTAAATGGTAATAGTTAGGGGTGTATACGAGCCGAGCTGAGCCAAGTATCTAGACACTCGAGCTCGATTCGTGATGAACAGTGTCGAGCTCGAGTTTGAGCCAAGCTCATTCAAGCTTGAATACTTGGACTCGAGCTCGCGAGTATGGGTGGATACTCGAGCTCGTGCTCGAGCTTCGACTTTATTGTGAGAAGGGGGCCGTTTGTCATTTTAAAAACTTGAAAATTAAAAAAAGTTACAAAACTTACAATTTGGCCCTTCGAGTACAATGAGGCTCACGAGCCTATCGAGCTGAGCTTCACCCTGATCGAACTCGACTCGATACCTTAAACGAGCTCGAGCTTTTCACGAGCCGAGCTCGAGTAGCCCGTGAACTGCTCGGCTCACTTCTTATCCCTAGTAATAGTATCTCACAAGAGTATTCAATTTTAGGGCCGAGGGTAGCTCAATTTTTTTGGGCCATAAGAGGTCATGTACAAGGATGTTTAGGTACGATTTCATAAAGCCCAATTAACATTTACATTTAGAATATCATTCATCGTGTAATAATTGAAAAATAATATATAGATACATGATCCAATATTTCCGGTTATTTTATTATCCTATTAATAATTAATAAAAAAAAAATTATCTTAAAAAATCGAAGGTTATGTGGAATGAAAGCGAAATTAAATTATGATAGTGAGAGTAGGAATTTCTTGACCGAACAGGTAAAGCTTTTTTGATGGGGATTGACCACTTGTTCCATTTAAATCAAGCTTAATTTAAGTCTTCAAAATGGGCGACAATTTAATCTGTATTAGTTAAATCTTTCAAATATATATAGATATTATAATTAATTATAATATATATAGATATTATAATTAATTATAATATCCAAATATACCCATCAAAGCCAAAATTAATTTGAATCGTCTCATAAAACTATAGGGGTGGGCAAAATTTTAAGGTAGAACCGGAACCGACGGGTACCCGGGTGTCTGTTCCAGTTCCAGTTCTAAAATTTTGGTTTTTTTATCTTAGTATTAAAGGTCTTATTAATTTTCAGTAAAAGATCAATTTTTCAAAATATTCTTATTAATATTTATGTTTCACTTATTATTTAATTAAAAAATTAATATACATTAAGACATTTACATTAAATAAAAGTTTTTAAATGTTTATTATCGGTGAAAACAGACAATTAAATACTTATAATCAAGCATCAAAGTAAATATAAACAAATATAATATTTAATGTTTTGCACTTAATGTGAGGGGTATAATTGTAATTTTTATGGATTTATTTGTAATTTTTTTTAAAATAGGGGGTAATTGATATTTTTTAGTGTACCCAAAACCGGAACTAGAACCTGTAACATAGGTTCTGGCTCCAAGTTTTTAAGAATCGAAACCGACAGTTCCGATTCCGGTTCTGGTTCCAAATCAAAGGAACCGATCGATTCTAGTTTTGGTTCCGATTCTTTTGATTTTGGTGGATACCCGGACCCGTCCACCCCTATAAATCTAGTTAGTTTAGCCTAATTAAGTTTGAGTAATGTTATGTGCAGTAACCAATTTGTACTAATCCAAATACTAACATTAAAAATTTGAACTTTTTTTTTTTTAGCTTTTGAGGAGAATTTCAAATTTTTAATGTTAGTACTTGGATTAGTACAAATTGGTTAGTACATGTAGTATTATTCTTCATTAAGTTTTCAAAGATTGTGTTACAGGTGAACTTTAACAATAACTAACAAGATTGTGTTGCAGGTGAACTTTAACAATAACTAACTACTACTTCAAAATTGTGTTTCGGGTGGGCTTTTATTGTGGGTGGTGATTATCTTTCTTTTTTTTGGCTAAATTTATATAATAACTAAAAAACTTTAATTCTATTCACACAAAAAAAAAATTTTTAAATATCCTTCAGAATTAATGTCTGAATTTAAATAAATAAATAAATAATACTCTCACAATACTAGCTAATAAGCTTGGGATTCAGTTTATAAGGTTATCATCTCAGTAAGTAATAAAATCGGCACTTGCTGTGGCATCTAAGAATTTATAAATAATAATAACTTATCACCATTACATATATATATATATATATATATATAGTAATCGGGATGCTCGAGCCAACTTGCACATACCTCGACTAATTTCTCAGGACCTTAAAGTTAATGATCAGATAATCGCAGTAATAACCACCTTTATTAGCAACCGAGAGGAATTCTTATTAGTAACCGAGGGAAACTAAATTCAAGACCTCTTGAGTAATATATAAAAAAGTCTCTATCACCCAAGGATGGTTAATCATTATATATTCTAACTCTTAAAGAGAAACACGTTTAATAATAATAACTTTATCAACTGCAGAGACTTATCTTTCTGATAGAAAGAAATTCCTTTGTTGTGTGGACCTTTAACCAACATGAATTAAAATAAGTAAACAAATGAAAGATGGACTGTAGGTATCTAATGCTTTTAAAATTCGATGCTCCTTTCCCCCAACATTTCGACAGGGAGTGATTGAACTATTCTACTATAAATATGTCACACTTTATGCAATTCAATTCATGCCATCTCCCTCCATTATCCTCATTTATATTCTAAACTTTGTTCTTTATATCAGTCCAGAAAAATGGCCACTATTGGTCCAAATCTCAGCCACCAAACTGATCACACAAACCAGGATGAGCTTGCTTCGGTTCAAAACCCTCAATCCCACAAGCTCAAACTCTCTCTTCTTTGGCACAAAAATTACCCTCCGGGCTTTCTCACTAAGGTGTCTATATATATATATAGCATTTCGTGTATATCCTTTTCTTCTGTAAATGCGAACAACTATATTGAAAACGTCATTTAACTCATCTTTAACCTAAACACACATGCATAGTAAAGAGTTTTCGGTAATGTGCAGGTGTTTGCAGAGATTATAGCGACGTATCTGTTGGTGTTTGTGACAAGTGGCTCGGCTGCTCTGAGTGCAAGTGATGAACGGAGAGTTTCCAAACTGGGAGCCTCGTTGGCCGGTGGACTTATCGTGACTGTGATGATATATGCGGTTGGTCACATCTCTGGTGCCCACATGAACCCGGCTGTGACTCTAGCTTTTGCAGCCGTCAGGCATTTTCCCTGGAAACAAGTACGTACAATTCACTGGCTTAGCTTCTGATATTTCCAGGTCTTTCATGGCAAAAGATGGATAAAATTATAATTTATAAGCATAATTTAAATAAACAGAATTGATTATCTCCTTCTGTTTTNGCTTGTAATTTGAATAATAAAAAATACAAATTAATTTGGATACATAAACGTCCAAAAATCGAGTCCACCGACAGCCTATGAAGTGGCAAATGGGAGCTACCGGCAATCACCGGTTCCTCTTAGCACAGGCTGTTACCAGCAAATAATATATTGACAAAACGAACTACAATACACAACCACTTGAAAGAAACTTCTCAACCGGCACCTCAGACGCGTGTCAGATCATCAACGGCTCGATTGAGATATAGTCAATTGCACTTAGAAACAACTTTTTGTTAGCCGTCCGATAGAAATGTAAGAAAGCTTATAGAATCTGTTCATAGAATTATTTCTTAAGAAATAGACAATGATGTTGTAACAATTGTGTTGTGGTTTCGGGTTGAGTCAGTCACGCCTGAGCCAACTTCAAAGCCGATGCTTTATTTTTTTCATAAATAATTCAACATATAATAATAATAATAATTTAAATCAAATTAAAGATTCAAAATCCAAAGCAAGGGACTATGGTCTATGAAAGTGCCAACAAATCCTGGAAACAAACTTCTAGGAAAAAAGAAAAAGGAAAAAATTTAAACCGCTTCACATTAACCATGCAAAACTTCCCTCTCCACCCCAAAGCATCCAAAGCTTCTTTACAAAATCCCTCATTTTAAAGCACTTTTATCTTCTCCTACCTCCCCCTACTACCAAATGTGATAATAAACCTCTGGATCTTTCAGAAACGAAAATGGAAAACGATTAAATTAGATCTCTCCCACTTGGACGCTTAGGATGCTGTGGGATGATTGGTTATGTTTTAGTGAGGTAATGTGTTTTGTTTAGCCGTATTGGTTTTTTTGTTTTATGGGTGAGGATATGGTTTTCTTTTATAGAAATTTATTTTCCTAATTTCCAATTTTATTTTATATTTTCAATTATTTTTACTGTATTAAAATGTTTGCTTCGAATTTCTTTTTATTGTATAAAGATCAATTTACCGAGTCATTTAGGTGTATTAACTTTTGTTATGCCTGAAAAAGTAGGACTGATGCTAAGCCTTGTCAGCATGGGTAGTCAGAGCTTAGGTAGGTTCTGCAGTCGCTTAGACGTAGCCATATCGCATACTGACGTGAGCGGCATGCTCTTGCCAATGTAGTGTATATGGGCCAGAGTAGCAAAAGGCTGGAAAAGTTTCACGTGTCCAATCCTTGCACAAATCGAGGAAATCACTCGAACAGGTGAGGAACGGGACATAAAGAAGGATTTGCACGGCAATCTGACCCGCTCACAGATTCAGTAATTATCACCTCAATTCATTCCACTATAAATAGAGGGCTCCTCTCCCGTTTGTGGGATTAGCTAATTTTTCTCTGAAATAGCATATATTCTCTCTCTCTCTCTCTCGTATATTCACTTGTATTCTCTAAGCTATAAATCAGCTCGCTAAACGTGACTTGATCTCATATATTAATACAATATCAGTGGACGTATGATTCGCTTGTTTAAGCATCCGAACAACTTTAAACATTATTCTTTATCTCTTATTCAACCCAATACCCCCATATACACATGTGTCTTCTGGGTCAGCTCAGCATTTCTCACGTATGATTAGTTGGTGTCAAAATCAAGCATCAACAACTTTAAAAAATGGTGAAAAGGGGAAGTACTTGGAAAAAGCGGAAATTAGAGNCTGCCTCCCCCTACTACCAAATGTGATAATAAACCTCTGGATCTTTCAGAAACGAAAATGGAAAACGATTAAATTAGATCTCTCCCGCTTAGACACTTAGGATGCTGTGGGATGACTGGTTTTGTTTTAGTGAGGTCATGTGTTTTGTTTAGCCGTAGGGGTTTTTTTGTTTTATGGGCGAGGATATGGTTTTCTTTTATAGAAGTTTATTTTCCTAATTTCCAAATTTATTTTATATTTTCAATTATTTTTATTGTATTAAAATGTTTGCTTCGAATTTCTTTTTATTGTATAAAGATCAATTTACCCAGTCATTTAGGTGTATTAACTTTTGTTATACCTGAAAAAGTAGGGTTGATGCTAAGCCTTATCAGCATTAGCGGTCAGAGCTTAGGTAGGTTCTGCAACAGTTCAGACACAGTCATGTCGCATGCTGACGTGAGCGGCATGCTCCTGCCAATGTAGTGCGTATGTGCCAGAGTGGCGAAAGGTTGGAAAAGTTCCACGTGTCTAATCCCTGCACAAGTTGAGGAAATCACTCTAGCAGGTGAGCAACAAGACATAAAGAAGGATTTGCACGGTAATCTGACTCACGCACAAATTCAATAATCATTACCTCAATTCATCCCATTATAAATAGAGGGCTCATCTTCCATTTATGGGATTAGTTAATTTTTCTCTGAAATAGCATACATTCTCTCTCTCTCTCTCTCTCTCTCTCTCTCTCTCTCTCTCTCTCTCTCTCTCTTGTATATTCACTTATATTCTCTAAGCTATAAATCAGCTCGTTGAACGTGACCTGATCTCATATATTAATATAATATTAGTGGACGTAGGATTCGTTTATTTAAGCATCCGAACTACTTTAAATATTGTTCTTTATCTCTTATTCAATCCAATACCTCCATATACATATGTGTCTTCTGAGTTAGCTTAATATTTTTCATGTATGATTAGTTGGTGTTAAAACCAAGCATCAACAACTTTAAAAAATGGTGAAAAGGGGAAGTACTTGGAAAAAGCGGAAATTAGAGGGGAAATAATTTCTCATACGTTCGGTGGTGATTTGAGGATGGCTGAAAAGAGGTATTTTATAATAAGCCACAAAATAATGTACAGAAGCTCAAGAGTCGAGCCAAGTCAAGGAGCGGGTTAGGTACCAGCAACCGGTTGACCCGGTAATAAAAGAGAAAAAAAAAAATAAAGACAATAAAATAATGGAAAAACTAAAACAATAAAAAGACAAGCAGAGGCACCCAGCATTACTCAGCTAGCTGGAAGGAGTGTAGTCTCTGTAGAGAGAGATGGCGTGTTGAATGGGCGAAGAATTCAGAGTTACTCTTTTTGCCCATTCTCAAAACATTAAGTAATTACACGGATCTGTTTTTTGTAAATCACTGAATTTTTTTTTTTTAGCCATTGATTCCACAACATGCAAGCCAATGCTGGTATGGTGGCCGGCTCTCACCGCCGGAACGAGTTGGTTCGGATTCGGCACGATTCAGACAGCGGGGTTTGTGTTTTTAGCCAACCCTTTTCTTTAGTCATCGCTCAAATTTTTTACCTTGTGTTTCATTTTTTCATTTTTTTGTTTTTTGTTTTTTTGTTGTTTGTTTTGCGCGTGTAATTCTGATTATTAGCTTATGGATCTGATTGGTAGCTCTCTGAAAGTGACTTTGGAGCTTGATTTTGAGTCGTTATCATTGATTTGAAAACAAGATGGTGATTGAATATCAGTTTAGATTAACGAACTTTTGACTACAGTTTTGTAAGTAATTTTCATTGCTTGCTTTGTGGTGTTTAGATCTGAGTGTTAGTTATATGAAAATGGCTTTTTAGTTTGAATAGATGTGTAGTGCTTGTACTTTGATCTTGAGATTTTAGTTTGACTTTGAGCGTTTAAAACGTTTTTAGAATAGTCCTTGAGGGTTATTTATTGATGAGTTTTGGTGTTTAGATTAGAGTGTTGATTTATGAGACTGAGTTTCTGGCGCAAAGTTTTGCCATTATCTTAGTAAATTCTGGATTTTTCTATTTTGATTTTTTTGGAGTAGGTCTTTGTAGCTATGATCTTGTTGTGAGTGCATTTCTTCTGATTTTGTAAGGCATTTATCAGAATTATGGTTTTTGATACCTGGATTTAAGGATATTTCGTCCATTTGTTAATTGTCTAATTTTTTGGGTTATGTTCAGTGGCTTACGTGTGCTTTCATTTGGATGCATTAAATTTGAGATCTTGATGCTTTGTTGGTCATCCCAGTTGGACTTAGTCGTCTCTTGTCCTCTTAGATGCAACATGCTGCTAAAAATGGACTCTTGTACTTCTCTTTTTTGCTCTACATATATTCTCTCTTGGACACACATCTGATACATGTTAGAATGCTGATTACAAATGTGTGCTATTGCCTATTGGGTTTATGTATCATAGGACATTATTTTTTACTTTAAGCATTTAGGTTTGTACAACACTGTGGAAGAGCTTAGGAATTGCTACATCTGTTAATTTCATTGTTATACATAGCAAAGTTTTCATGTAAAGTATTTTTAGTTTAGTCTGCATCTTAGTCTGTAAAGTATTTTTATCTGAAAAAAGAGAAATGTATATGAAGATGCAAGAACTAATTGTTCTTTTAATGATATTCACTGGTTGTGAAAGTTGTGAAATTAATCTGTCTCTTATAAAAAAAATAATATAAAATAAAATAAAAAGAAGAAGAAGAAGAAGAAAAGAAAGTTATGAAATTATTTAGTAAATTTTTTCCTCTCTCTGCATCATAGTTAGTGCCACAAATAATTGGGACTTTATTGAACAGTTGATTGTGCCTTTTGTTTTTCATCATCAAAATCTTTTGGTTATATTAACGTACAACTTGTAAATTTGAGTGCAATTAAATCAAAACATGGATTTTATATATATATATATATATATTTTTTTTTTTTTTTCTGATTTTGGATTCCTGACCAGTACGTTGTGAATTCTGCAGCCCAAACCCCTGAAGAATTTGAATGGCCAAACATGCCAGATTTGTGGTGATAATGTTGGACTTACAGCCACTGGTGATATATTTGTTGCCTGCAATGAGTGTGCCTTCCCAGTTTGCAGGCCTTGTTACGAGTATGAGCGTAAAGATGGAACTCAGTCTTGCCCCCAGTGCAAGACTAGATATAGGAGGCACAAAGGTTTACTTTTCTGTCATAATTTTTTGCTATCCCTTTGCATAACCTGCTTTCAGTTATATTGTTA